AAATAACCCTGCTTCTGCCGCCATTTTCAGATGTTTAATGTTTATTTGAATACTTAATTTATTCCCTTTTGTGCGATTCGCTATTTTTTGTTGTTTTATGCCGTGCCATATCGATTTTCTACCTTCTTGTGTGCATGTGTGTGCTTTTGCATTTCCCAGCTAAAATTATAGTTTGCTTTATAGAGCTATGTAATATGTGTAATTGTTAACTGATCGAATACTTGAACACTAAAATGATTTGTTTTGTCAGGGCTAATGCTCAGCAGCCGAAGCTGTTTGTTGGTATGATTCTTATTTTGATTTTCGCTGAAGCTCTTGCTCTTTATGGCCTCATTGTGGGTATCATCCTCTCATCTCGGGCTGGCCAATCTCGTGCTGATTAAAACGAGCCAACTCAGTGATACTTGGTAGTCCAGTGATTTTTATTATCAGGCCTGTATTTGAAATGGGAGATATTTGTCTTTAGTATATTGCTATTATTTCATTTATTTTCATACACAAACCTTGTATCCAAACTCCATTAGTTTTATCAAGTATTTTCCTATGGACTTCATATTTGGATGGCTGCATAGTGATTTGATACTTTTTTGTTGTGCAGAATCAGTGGAAATTATTGATACAATATACCTTGTTTGTACAAGTTAAAACTATTGATGACTTATCCTACCTTTGTTGCAATATGAACTTCCATAGGATTATTCTCACGTTTACAACCCTATTTGAACAGAATGAAATGGTTGTTTAACCTTCTTGTGAGAAGATAACAATTAATTTAGTGAAAGGAAGAAAAGGTGTCACATTCCAAGACCAAAGAACCTCGGGTCCTAAGCAATATATGTTGCCTCGTGGCAGTGGGAATCTAATATTAAAGACTTCTAAATGTGCCTTTTATACATTATTCACAGTATATGACGTGTGCACTATAGATATGTGATAATATCATTTATAGAGATGTACAATACAACTTGCATGTTATAAAGCTCCGGCACGGCCTACCGCGCGCGCTTTCTTGCGTTGGAAGCGTTGTGGATACGGACACCTATCGGGTGCATGTATTGCGCGAAGTCGAACGCACTTATTTAACCTAGTCACGACTCTGTTCCCAGACGTACAGAGAAGAAAAGTACAGGTACGTTATCACGTCTCCGTGTCAAATACATTTGACACGTTGTCTCGTCATATTATATGGAAATGCTGCCACCTCAATTTTTTTATAAAGGAAAGTAAAATGGTAAGTTCAAATCCTTTGATATTGAATGGTATTTCTAAAAGTTTTTCATTCTCGCTGGTTGTGTTGGAGTGAGGTCAAAAGAGAAGTTGTTTTCTTACATCAATGTGGTGTTGCATTTAGGGTTTCGAAAGCTGCGAAAGAGTATTGAAGATTTGTGATTGTTGGTTGAACTGTGGATATTGGTGCTTCCTTGTTGGATTGTGGGTGTTGGTAGTTTGTTTTTTAATTATGGGTGTTCGTTGTTTTATTCGATAGTGGGTATTCGTGGTTTTGTTGGATTGTGAGTGTTTATAGTTTTTTTTTTCACAGTTGTGAGAGTATCTTTTGTGTTTCGATTTTTCATTTTCTCTCTTAGCGTCATTTAGGTTTTGGAGATGACTTTGGGATCTTTTTTAGAGACCTATATTTGGTGGCCTTATATTTGTTTTACATTTGCTTGATCAAGTAAGTATTCCTAACTTTTGGGAGAGGTTGGGCGCCACGAATCCGAACTCAATTTGTCCCCATGATGCCAGACTATTTTGATGAGGTCGGGGCACATTATTTTGACAAATATGAACTTGAAGTCGACAAGAGGACATTGAGCCAAGACAAACATGCCATTGAGCTCGACCATACCTTGTTGAGCCTAGATAGAGACCCAATTGCACTAGTTGAGAGATAATATGTTTTTTTAAAATGTGTAGGGTATACTATTATGGACAAACACAAAAGGGGAATTGTATGTATCGCCTAACTGTGTATTAATATTCAATCCTTTGATTGTTGTATTTAATGTATGAACCTATGCTTTGATTTACACTTACAAGCTACACTTAGAGTTAGGCACAGAGTACACACAACCTATAGTTGATTTGAATGGTTGCCTAAAGTCATTTCAAAAGGAGTGCATGAATGCCACATCTTTTAAATGGGTAGTGGATATGGTATAACGTGTGGTAATTTATAGCCTTGTACTTGTAGAATTAATTAGTAGGTGGAATGTTGGTGAAAAAACTTTTAGGATCAGGGAGAATTGAGTCCCTTTTACAGTTCATAGTTCATGATGTTTGTTTTTTCTTAGGTTTATGTAATATGGTGAAAATGTTGACTTGGAAAATGATGCAGGTGGAATTGTTAATAAGTTATTTAGGGAGGAGAAGGAGGACATAACAATTATGTGTATAAAGGAAAAGTTGACTGAAAGCAGATTTCAAAGCCAAAGAACTCTTGACAGTTTTTCTTGGTTGTATATTTTTTTGGAATTTAGAGTAAGGTTGTCAAACTCGAGAGTTTACGTACACTCATGAGAGTCTAATAAACTCGACTCGTAAACTCCACTTGTGAACTCGACTCGTAAACTCGTAAGAATTTACTTTGCATGAAAAAAAAAATATAAATAACATCTTAATCCAAATAAGATAACAAAATTATATAAATTCAAATACATAAGTTCATAGAAATATTGTTCATAGAAATATAATGTAAAACATAAATTAAAATGTCAAAGTCTCTATGCCTAATCCTTTAATCCTTTAATAATGGCATCATCATCTCCATCATCATCCTCATCTAACTCTTCCTTTGATGAATGTTGAACATCCTCGTTGTTCCCAAATGTTATGTTATCAAGATCAAGAACATTTAGAGCAGGATCTATTGTTGCTCCATCTAAGTGAACATTTTCACTTTCAACTTGATCAATCTCAACAACATCATCTGCCTCTTCAATTATCCATTCATCATCTGATTTGATGTCATCAAATGGAAGAGCTATAGTTTTTCGAATTTGTCTACTTTTCATCTTGGAGTTATACATCACATAAGCTAAACCATTCATCTTTTTTTAATGCAAATAATTCCTTCTCTTTGTATGAACCTAAAATGAAATATAATATTTTTAGTGAAGATATAAAATAAAGAAATTTAGAAATTAAAAATAATTTAAATTACCATTTCAAATGATCTCCAATTACTCTCACATCCATAAGTACTACAAGTTTAGCTTAGAATTCGAATAGCAAATCTCTTCAACTCTGGAGTTCCATCACCAAACATGTCCCACCATTCGATTTAACTCTTTCGTATACTCCTTTGGATCTTCAATTCCAAAAAGTCCTCTAGCATAATGAAATTCAATAATTTGTGAATTAATTTTTCTTTTTCCTGCCATATCTTGTATCAATCTTCTCATGCAAATATGCAATCCTTCTTTCACCTCTTCACCCTCATCATATCTAAAGTTAGGTTCATAGTGGAAATGGGGGTTCAGAAAATTGGCAACTTCATGCAAAGACCTATGAAGTTGATTATACCATCGAGCATCAATTATTCTCTAAACCTCTTCATAACTACATCAATTATGATATATCAAAAATAATTTCACACATAAGTAATTAAACATTGAATGAGTAAAAGTTTGAAAATTTACCTCTTTTTGATATTGTTAAAGTTAGACCTAATCTTCTCTTTTGCACAATCCATCTCTTCATAAATGAAACCCATTGCGGGTTTTACATCTGAGTCTACTAATCTTAATACCACCATAAGAGGTGCAGCAATTTTCAGGCATATGGAGACATTTTTCCATAATCGTCTATCTAATACTACATATTCTACTTTTTTGCCTTCTTGTGAAGTTCCAAACTTGTTTGTCTTCCACTCTTTAGAGCTAAACATGGTCAATAATGATGCTTTCAATTCATGAAGACAATCAAGAGTTAAATAAGTTGTGTCAAATTTAGTCACACTCGGTCTTATCAAGTCTCTACCTTTATTGAACTTTTTCAACAAGGAAATCAACATTGATCTTCCATAAATGTATGTGGTAATTTTTCTTCCCTTTTTAATTGTTAATTTATGGATCTTTAAATTTTTTTCAAAATCTTCAAATATCAAATCAATGCAATGTGCTGCGCATGGAGTCCAATACAATCTTTCCCTCTTTTGCATCAACAACTCTTCAGCTACCTTGAAATTTGTAGCATTATTGGTGACAACTTCAACAACATTTTCTTCTCCAACAAACTTAAAAACATCATCTAACATTTTGAAAACTTTATCACTATTTTTGATATGTCTGAAGTGTCTAGTGAATAAAGAACTCGTCCCTTTAGGACTATTCACCAAGAAGTTGCAAATCAAACAGTTTTTTTTTTCTATATGTCCAACCATCAGACGTAATTGTGCATCTAGTTCTCTCCCACTCCTCTTTATTTGATTTAGGGTTTGTGTAACAAATGAGAGAAAGGGTGTTAGATTCCTAAACCATTGCAATAACTACTTCAATGAATCCTGTTGATGAAGAGAAAGGGTTAGTGCATGGAGAGAAAGGAATTTATTGATTAATTTAATTTATATATTATTATTTAATTAATTGTTATAATATATAAATATTATAAATTAAACGGATGTGCACATCTGGATGTGCCACGTTCATATAAATTAATATATAAATATTATTTAATTAAATTAATTATAACTATTTAATTAAATAAAATAAAATTAATTTTCATAATATATAAAAAATAAAAAAATTTATAAATTAATTAAAATATAATATTTAAAAAATTAAAATAAAATACTTAAACGAATATTACATCCGTTAATGGAAGTGACCATTATTTAACGGAAGTGATCACATGTTGATTATAATTAATTAAAAAATTGAGTATAGATGATAAAACTGATGTTCACATTCGTTTTATATCAACGGTAAGTTGGGTATGGGTGTACCATGAGCATTTGGTGGCGGTGGAGATCTGAAATGGTATATTACGTTGAGAAAAAAACACATTTAAACCCAATTTCCAAAGTATAACACATTATAGTGAGGGGAGGGTGGAAAGAGTGTGGAAATGGCGACGAGGAGCAATGCAGAGGGTGAGGGTGATGGTGGGAAGAGTAACAATATCGTATGGGACGAAGCTTTGCAGAGGTTCGAGATAGAGGACAAGGAGGCGTTTTTGGAGTACGTGTTGAGAGAGAAGGGGAAGGTCATGGATTTGGTCCACACCTTTGTGCCCCCTTCCAAGAGAGGTTTTGGCTTGGCCTCCCACCTTTGCGTCGCTGCCTTTCAACATGCCCAATCGCACTCCTTAATCGTCATCCCGACCTGTTCCTATGTCTCTGTAAGGACCTAACTTTATCGTTAGATTATATTATACCCTTTTGCTTCTTCTTTCTTTTTGTTTCCTCTGTATGCTTGTTTTCATAAGTTCATTGATATGGCATGAGAGGGTTTTAAGGGTTTATCTGTAGATAGAATCTTAATATTTAGGGTGAGCTCTTTTGGTATAACTAGGAGGTATCTGGATGTTCTTGTTTCGCATTCAAGTAATCTCCTCCTATTGGGTTAAAGGACAAAGTGTCAAACTACATGTATCAACAAAAAATGATAACCAGGGTAAGCTTTGACTCAAGGTAAGGTTGTGGCTTGGTGATCGGTTGGTCATGGGTTTGAATTCAGAAACAGTCTCTTTGCTTAAGAGAGGGGAAGGTTGGTTGCGTACTAGTACCTTCTTCTTTACATCTGCAAATTGAGGAGTCTTTGATACTGGGATATGTTTGTTTATAAATTGAGGAGTTTTCTTTACATTTGCGAGCCCTTCACTTTAGTGTGTGGATCTTGCCCTGCATAGGCAACTCTTGTCTACTTGGGAAGAAAAATGTAGGTTTATTGCTATGCTTTGCTTTACCAACATTCCATCATCGAAACTGTATTCTTCAATTATCCTTGATGGTTTTCTTGATTCTCAACTTGAATGGCAGGGGTTGAGGAATCCTAGCAGCAAATTGTTGTCTTTGTCTTGAATAGACAACGTCAATTGGTTGTAGTTTGTAAGATTTATGTGCGAATAGAAGCAATCTCAATTATGAGCGCCATTGGCCCCCAAGCTCTTTGCTTTGTAACAAGGTTTTAAAATGGTCCCTGACTATGATTTTGGGGCACAATTAGGGAGCTAAGCATCATAAACTCCACTTTAGATCCAGTATATAGAACTGCAGTACTACAGAATTTGGTTGTTTTGAAGTATTTATATCAGAAGCTACATCTATGGATAATTTATAACGCCTGAAAGTTGGTTAGCTGGTAACTATAGAACTGCAAGACAAAGTATAGCTTGCCACGGATTAAAGGCATGTCTATGAATTTAATGGAAAGCTTTGTTTGTATTGTGTTGTCTTATAGAATATGGGTAATAAAGTCTTACCCAAAGTACAATACAAATTCATAAAACAGAATTATTAACTTTACACCAATAAGCAATAGTCTTAGCTTCGCAGCACTTTTTTGACGTACTTTTTTCTTATAATTTTTTATATGTATTTTAAACATATCCAACAAATAAGATCTGGACAAAGATATGCAGGCCTGATCCGCCTATCAGTAACTCTATCAGAGAATTTAGGGTTAATACTACTATACTTAGTCTGAAATAGAAACTTGATAACCCTTATATCCTGAAGTTCGAGGATATGTAACTCACTTGTCTTAACTATTAAGTATAGTCGTGTCTAATGCCTGATTCTACACAGTTTTTGTAGTGAGTCATATGACACAATATTTTTGCTGAACATTGGTTTAGTAAAATATGAGGAAGAGGGATTTTGATAACAAATATCCTAATATCATAAAAGATATAATTGAATATTTTTTTTTGTTTTAGATGTTGAGTCAGGTCTAATTGTATTTGCAATTAGTTATTCTGAATTAAAAACTTATATTGATATTGAGTTTTCTGAATTAAGGCGTGATAAATGTATTTTATATCTTGGTGTTAGCTCACCATTGTACTTATTGTATTGTGATTATGCTTTGAGGTGAGAAATATAAGTGAGTTGAAAGTTAATAAACAAGATAAATAATATATAAGAAAGAATGTACAAGTTCATTGTGTTCGAATTTTGAACATGAATGTATTTTTTATGTTCACGTTTTGGTCTTTTAAGAATTTCTACTGTTTTGCAGGACACATTTCTTCCCCGGAACCCATCTTGGAATTCTATTGTGTACTCAAAAGGAGGCAAATCTAGTATCTGAAACTGCCAAGCTCCTAGTCCAGGTTCTTCTGAGGAACCGTTTGTATGATAATTATTATCTGCTAAACTATTCTTGATTGGCTCTGTCGTTAATAATAGCAACACTTTTTTTGCTTGTAATAAATAACCTCCCTTTTTTATAAAAAAAAACTTGTGATTATTGGTCGCCAAAGGGCATTCCTCATCACTAGTGTAAGTAAATTTTTTTATATTACTAAAATATTTATATTAAAGGACCTAACTTCTAGGAGACTCGTCAAACATGCATTCATTTGATCCATACATATTTGGGAGAAGAAATTCTATATGCAAATTACTACCCTTTTCTTTCATTCTGATTATGTTTAATTATTTATCTAGTGTCCCAAAATGTCAAGATGGTCATTTACTATATTTTTGTGTCAATTTGGTTCTGATTTATGAAAAAGTGATGCAATTTGGTCATTTTTATTAGTATTTTATAGATAGTGTTAAATTCACTGTCATTTGTGATTTTTTTTTATTTTTTTAAAATAATTTAATTTTTTGTTTGGATTTTATTTTCACATACATTTCAAAGTTATGTCATGTGGCACAATAAGTATGACATCGTATTAATAGTGTGATGTAATAGAAATAATGTAACGTGACATAGTGTTAATTTAGTTTTCATATTTGTTTTTTTATTTAATTTAGTATTAACTTTTAAAAATGGAACAATATTGTCTTTTTATTTAAATGTAACAATTTTTTTATAATTCATATGCTGTTATTTTTATTAAAATTAACATTGTTATTAAATATTTATGAAAATATTTTTAAACTAACTTTAAAATCTATATAAATTTGTTTAAAATCATGTTAATTAGAGTTTAAATGTAATTAATAAATCTAATGAAAAATAAAACACAAATTGTTCAACAAAAAACAACAGAAACAAATTAAAATTAAGGGTTAAATATGTTTTTAGTCCCTAAACTATTGGCCGTTTCTGGTTTTCGTCCCTGTTTCAAAGTAAGGTACAATTTGGTCTCATTCTTTTCGAAAACGTTCGTTTTAGTCCTCGAAAACTAAACATTGTTTAAAAATTTGGTCCTCATTTAGCAACAAATGTGGACTAAAACCAAAATTCCGAGGACTAAAACGAACGTTTCGAAAAGAATGAGGACCAAATTGTACCTTACTTTGAAAGAGTGACGAAAACCAAAAACGGTCAATAGTTTAGGGACTAAAAACATATTTAACCCTAAAATTAATAAGTTGAATAGAATAATTTCTTAATATTTGAGTTCATATACTTATATATATATATATATATATATATATATATATATATATATATATATATTTAATTTAATTTTTTTATAATTGTTGTCCCTTTAAAAAAATAAATTTTAGTTTTAATTTGATATAAAATTTTCACAATGTTATATTTTCTAAATTTTTCGCGTATGAGAATTTTTATATTATATTCGTAACATCTTAAATGGGATGTTATGTTAGACAACTCACGGCTAATATTCAACCCTCTAAACCTAACTTGTTGCCACCTTCTTTCCCTTAATTCTTTCTAGAATATTCTATGTTAATGTCTGATCAAACCTAATTACACATTTTCTTTTCGGACTTTCACTCACATTTAAAACAAAAGTCTGATATAACATTTAAGATTGGCACGTTAAAAATTCGGATTCCCTACTTTAATTAAAGTCAGTCTCATGTGTTGTCCATATTCAAAGAAACTAAGGCATTTTCATTCAAAGAAACTAAGACACTCTCATTCATATAAAACAAAACCGTGATAGCAAAAACATAAAACAACATATAAGCACTAATCAAGGTTGGAACTCTCTACCTCATGCATCAAGCAACCACATCAACCAATTCAACTATCACATTCATCTTTATTATAACCATACACAACAAACCCCACACACACACATATATGTATTTATAAATTAATCACGTCAATAAATAGCATAGTAAAATACATAAATAAGAACATTTTATACATAGAACAGGAATTCAACACATGACTACAAATTCATAATAAGAAACTCTCACCAACAGACGTATCACTTATGATAAATATACAATTTCTTATTAGGATACACTTAAACAAACAACGTTTACAACATCTTTCCCATAACTTTATATTTTCTGGGTCTTACAACATGACAACTTGAACCAACGAACAATACAATGAATCAATAAAAGGTGCAAGCTAACCTAAATGACATGCATGGAAACAAATAACACATTCAAATTAGTCGAAACTAAGTAATGTGACATCAACATGTATTGCTCTGTAAACTCAGAAACTATGCACCTAGATTGATTCAATTAAGATGAACATGATGATGTATGTAATGTATTGTATAGGAAAAATTGTAAGGCCTGAAACCATGACCAACATGACAATGAACAAATTCAGAATTAGAATTGAAGCATGCAAAGAATACAAATCAGAAGGTGTGCACTATGAAATGAAACTACTAACTTCCTTTTGATGCAGAAAATATGTAAAGGATGCCTAACTTCTAAATGGGTACTGGCTACATGTATGAAAATAAGGAAAAAATAAGACCAATTGAATCAGATATCACAAGAATGATTCTAATTCAAATGGCACGCATAATCTCTAGACTGTGCGATTTTGATAAATGAATCCAAGTGAGTCCAAGGGCTTAATTGCAAAGCTGAAAAATAGAGAAACGGATTAAAAAAGTATTATTTACATTAAAACACTACTAAAAGCAAATTTTAAATGGTTTTTCTAAAGACTCCAATTTTTGTACAAAAAGTAAAATATAACCTAATTCTAGAAATTTACAAACTAAAAGAAACTAAATGAATTTTTACAAAGGAAAACGGAGAAAAAAATGGAGTGTTAACAATGTTACCTTCATGAAACATGTCACTCAACATATGAGCACATTAGAAAGAATCATGTCCAACATCACGAATCATTTGCACTAGCTGATGACTCATCTTTGAATCAACTTCTTCTATTTTTACTTAAGACATTTCTAAAGTTGGCATGTCATTAACTCACTATGTCACGTCCACTTTGTGTAGCTTATTAGGAAACCATCACAAAGAACATGCTCCTGAATAACTTCAGTTGGCAGTTTTCACTCTTTCGAACAATTAACACATATGGCAATAGAATCTTCCATTATTATCTAAAACATTCATCATTGCAATTTCAAGAAATTGCTTTACTCCACTCCCATATTCAATTGTCATGCTTATAAAATTTATCCAACTCTAATTTATTGTGGTGTGTATAAACCAACACTTTTTTTTTTCTTAGTTAGAGCTAAGAAACAATCTAACATGCAATCCAATATGTGAGCTCTACCCTACCACCATTTAGGGATGAAATATGCTAAGTTTGAAGGAAAAAAATGTGAATAAGGTGAGGCCAAACAAGTTATGCTATGTTCACTATAACCATAGTCCATCTATAATGCTAACAAGTTAAAAGTCATAAGACTTCATGATAAAGGACTATCTCTTTAACATCTATGAGAAGAACTTGAGGAAGAACATTTGCAATTCAAAAAATCTATGACAAGGTCAAAGATCAAAACATGTTTCATGAATGTGAAAACTTACAGAGCACAAAGATCATGAGCATAACTGAAGAATAATTTAGGAAATTAAATAATTTGTAATTTTATTTTAATTTTACAGAACATTAATTTCGTTGGATGTGCCAATTTGTGTTAGCTGTTTAGTATACCTCGTTAGGCAAAATTTTGCGTATGTAATTTTTTGTTTTTTGTTATTTTTAGGTGTTTTTAGCTTTGAGTTTCATTATAAAGTTTCTAGGTTTTCTTAAACTTATATGTATATATAGAGAGGTACCAAAAGTTGGTGTAAATACTTTTGAGTTATATTATATGCATTTGCATTTTCTTTGAGAGAGGATTATTTTGGTTCTTGGATTAGAACTCTGATTCTTATCCAATGTTGAAATCTTTGTGGCAAATCTTCGCTTGACTTATCAATCTGCTAGATTGTGGCGTTTCCATCCTGTCTAATTTCGTATTCTTCTATAACTTATTTTTGTTCTGCCTCTTGTGGATTCAAATATAAAAGGAATTGTACTCTTTCTTGGGCAGAATCATATCATTTGGTATTAGAGCAAAGTTATGGTTTAAATATCCTTTTTGTAGGAATTGGTATCATGCAGCGGAATGTTTAAAAGCATGTAATCGGACAAAACCAAGAGGGGAGGGAATTGGTTCCATTTGAAAATTACTTCTCTTTAATAGATTATTACTTTTAAAAGTTTCTTTGAAAAATATGAAAACTTACATTGAATAAAAGCAGATAAATAAAGTACAGAAGGATGGAGAAAAATTACATAGGTAACTTTTATACTGGTTCAGATTAAAAGACCCTATGTCTAGTTGTTAATCTCTCCAAAAAAGTGATTAACCTTTCCACTAAAATAAGTAACAATTTATAATAGGGAAATAAGGATTGAGATTAGAAATCACCTCTCTTAACAGATAAGAGATGAAAGACACCTCCTTTTGACGCACAAAAGGATGAACAACTTGACTCTGCTTTGTAGGTATACTCCACCACTTAGACACACTAAGAAAGAACACTTCCTCCTACAAGCACCAAGTTCACAAGCTCCCTTTTCAAAAACACAAAGAGTTTTCCTTAGGCACATAGTTCTAATACTCTTAAGTGAAAAGTTTCTCTATAAGAATTGTGAAGACCTCTATTTATAGCCTAAGGTTCGAGAGGGTCAGAAACTGAAAGGAAACTCTGAACTGCTAGTAATAATCCATTACCGAAAGTGATAATTGATTATTTTTGTCCGTTATAAGGTTTTCAAAATAGTGATAATCAATTATCACCTGTCGAACCCTGGTCAATTATAACTTTCGGTGATAATCAATTATCTTGAGAGATAATCGATTATTGTCGATTTGAAGTGTTTTCTCGTTTTACACATGATAATCGATTATCCTTCATGGTAATCGATTATTGCCACAATATAGCTATACTAAAAAGCAATTTACAAGCTTCTTATGATGTACAAGTAAAAGCAAAAACCTAATACAAGGTTTTCTATAAAAATACTTTAATAATGTATGTAAATAATTCTTCAAGGTTTCAAGTGCATCATCGTCAAAATCTCTTCAAAGCATCAAT